GTACCTTAAAGTTCGACAAGGTAGAAATTCTAGCGAACTGTGACACCCAATGCGAGCCTCGAGTTGCCCGAGCCAGTCTTCTCTGGGTCACCATAGAATAACAAGCGCAGTAATCTCCCCACCAGAGCCTCCTTGACGACCAAAATTCGTATAAGACATGTCTAGCCTATGAAATGAAACACTCGTTTACCCAAATAGACAAAAGTCTGGCAAACCTCTAAAAAAACGGTGCAATAACGCCCAGCGACTTGTTTTCCATGAAACCAACCGACACAGCCCCAGCAACATTTTACGGTGTGCTTAAAGTATACAAAAAAATACACATCTTAGACCCATCGCCTCCCTTCATGGCACCTCTACACACACTTTGGCAAAATGGATGTTTACTCATCTCAAGTTCCTGGCAGTAGGCTCGACAAAAACCGTAGCTTCTGCCAAAGTGTTCCTTGAACGAATAAAACACCTGAAGTTTGAGCCAGATGAATCCATGGTATCCGTCGATGTTGTTTCAGTCTTCATTTTCATCCCAAAGCAAGAAGCGATTGATGTTGTGAGACAACTTATAGCCAAACGCTACAACGAGAGCAGCAAACCCCTGAAGTCTGAACATTTACTCGAACTATTACGACATTGCTTGAAAGCCTACTTCACATTTGGTGCACAAATGTATGAAAAAGGCCCTCCAATGGGCTCCCCCTATGAGGCCTAATCGCTGCAGTGGTTCTCCAGCGGACAGAACCCTTGGTCTTCACAAAGTATTAACCAATGTTTTGGGCTCGTTATGTCGATGACACTTTTGCTATTGTTAAAACGTTTGACATTGAGCACCTCAAAGGGTTACTGAGCTTGTTTGATCCAACTATCCAATTCACGATGGAAGCTGAGGGAAATAACTAACCACCCTTTTTTGATGTCTTTGCGTCGGTGTTCAACTCAGCTACTACAAACTACAGTACTTAGAAAAGTCGTCAGCACGAATAAAGTACTACATTTCAACAGCAGTCACCCCATGTCTCACAAATGTAGCTCCATTCGTACTCTTTCGCAAAGAGTTGAAAAACATTCCAGCACACAAGCTGACAGAAGGGCTGAACAGCGATACTTTCGTGAAGTCTTCCTAGCTAATGGATACCCGTATTCATTTAGCAAACAAAGCAAGCGCCGAGTGAACAGACGACAGCCAATGCAACAGCAACCTGAAGTCTGGAGGGCCGTTCCCTACATAAAGGAGTCTCTGAAGCAGTCTCACGACTGTTAGAACCCGCTGGCGCAGGTATAGCCCATCGATCTCAGGCGACAATACGCCACCGTGTGATGCATCCTAAAGACAGACTGCCTCCTACTGAAACCTCTGCAGTTTTTTACAACGGACGTTGCAACGTTGGGGACTGTAATTACGTTGGAAAAACAGGCCGATAATTGCAGACCCACCTACATGAACACAAACCAGCGGTTTGGAGACTAGACCTAAACTCGCAACTCGCGGCGCACTTCGGAGAGACACACCGGTCATGAGTTCGATATTCTAGAAGCGATTATTGTAGGCCGAGGAACCTCAAAAGCGGAACGACTGATGCTTGAGGCGTGGTACTTAGAAGCCAACCGTGTCAACAGGCATCTAGAGCTTCTTGCGGTCTACAAAGCCTTACGACATTATGTGAGCACAGGATAGAACAAGGCGCAACCGAGCCTAAGGATTGCAAGCGACAAACCGGTTGGAGGAGGAGGCAGGATTTCCAGGACCCTGTACCGCGGGGCAAGGCGCCACACTTATTGCTGTTCATGATCCCAAACAACCCCTGACTTAACTGACAGATAATTAGCGTACACCGCTATAATTGTCTCCCTCGCATTTTTGATTGCTGTTTCTTACCCCTTGACAGCCTGATGGCTTTTGACATTTGATGAGCCTATGTCCACTTTAATTTCCCTCATCTTGGTTGATGCTTCTAATCTCTTATCTCTTCTAAGTTTGTGGCTTCAGATATTGAGACGAAGCCAATGCGATACCTGGGACAAGAACTATATTCGCCTGACGCTTCAAATTTCGTCGCAGATCCATTATATAAGACAGTAGCAGGAACGGGTAATTCATTCACATGGAATTAAAGTCATTATAGGATGTGGTCACTATGATATCACAAAGCTATATCCATTGATGGTGTGTGGTTCGTGACAGGCGGAACTTCTATCAACCGTGTTCGATTTTGGCGTGATGACTGCTCAGTCATCTGGTTCCCTGGCGCTGGCGTTAGAAGACGCATTCATTGTTGCGCACCCCAACTGGCGATTTGTTTTACCCACCTTTAGCCTTATCACCAGTGGGCAGGTCATTGTACTTTTTTCTAGATTGGTGGACCGTAAACCAAGACCCAAACACCTCGCGGCTCACACGATTCTCAATTCTCGCAAGACTTTGGACACCATCAAATTTCAGTGTATGGCCGGGTCTCGTCAAAGCAACCGCACCTCAATTTCCTCCTGGGACTCGAATTTTCGCTTGTATGTGATGAAAATATATCAGTAAGCAGTGTTATCTAGAGCCTGCTGAACTTTAAGGAGAATATACCTAATACAACAATGATTACTCATGTCTGAATTGTGCGATATTATTTTAAAATCTGATTTGCTTTTTAAAGGAGCCAGGCTGACTTCGTTAAATTTCATTCCGCGTCCATATAAATGATCTTTCTTGCCCCTTCTGTAATCTCCAGTCAGAGCTTAGCAATTTAGCACTGGGAGCAAAATATGAAATTCACTGTGACTGAACTGCAACAAAATGTTACCTCATGTAATAGCTTGATATTATAATTTGTTAAGTGAATAAGGTACAAATATTATTGCTAAATTCCAGTGCTACAACACAAATAAAGCATTAAAATTTATTTGTGAACATACCGAGCGCGGTTTCCTTTCTTTTAGCATTGGTTTGTCTGGCGCTAATTTGAGATCGTATTTCTATACGTCCTAATTCGTTAGTGGTGGCACATGCGTATGTGACGTTAATATTATTATCAGCATCAGCAAGAAACTGTAACGTCGATCTGTCGTCAGCTATAAGATTGGGAGGAAGCTCTTCCACTTTGACATTCCAGCATAAAATTGAAGTTGTTTCAGGGCACCATATGCGAAGGGCTTGACTATCTTCCGTTGAGACAGATGAAACTGTTTTATTCTCGTTTTTCCAGGGGTTCATTTTTGCATTCTAAAATTCCGCATCATATAAAATTACACTAGAGAGAGCTGCAAAATACCAGCACTCATATTTTTTAAAAAGAAAAAACAAAGAGAAATTGCATTCTAAGGAATTAAATTTTCAAAATATTTACATGTCTGACTTGTCATCATTTTGATCTACTGTTGAAGGGGGCATGTGATCTCCAGATATTGCATATTCAGTTAGGTTGTTTTGGCTGCTACAAACAGGCCGGCGATAACGAGACGAAGTGGAAAAATAGTCGACTACAATTAACTCATGCTTGCTGAAGATTTTTGAGGAGCGGGTAACAAATACTAATGCAGAGGCCCACTTTGCGTGACAATTTAAGTGATAGCCTTTTAAGAAAGCCAATTATCGCTTTCAGCATAATAATTGCGACAGCGACACGCCATTGTTTGGAGGTCTGGTGACGGACGAGGTAGCCCTGCAGGCTTGTATAATCTTCGTTGCAGCGGATTTGATACACGCCTGGAGGTTTCATCAATGGATCCGAAAAAAACTGTACTACATTTAATAGGCGGAGTAAGCCCTCATATCTCCTCCTAATTTAACCGTCATTCCTGTAGCCATGTCAGACCACACGAACGCCTTTTTTACAGGCTCAATTGTGCGCTTAGATACGTAGTTTTCATAGTAACTGAAAATGATTTTAACACCGAAAAAAAATCCCAAATCATGATTTGGAGGTTTCTATTCCCTTCTGTGTAAGCATGCCCTTAGCTGTTTTTTTTAAATATTTCATTGCTTATAGCTAATCAGTGTTTGGTACTCGGCTTATAGCTACTTTAATCTGAAGTCAAAATTGCCAATCCTACAGCCATTGTCTTGACCAACGTACTGCAAACATATATCTGAAATGGTGGGGTTTATTCGCCATTACCAATAACGTTCCTAGTCCACTCATACCACGAATCCACATTTTTCAATTCGTATAATCATCCACTGACCAGAAGACTCACGCAGGCAGCAGGTCGGCGGTCTAAAATGTGGCTCATCGGATGCCATGCATAACGAGCAGAGCACCAACGACTTGAACGTGAATTACATTATAATGAAGCACTCTGCCACTAAAGGCAAAACAGTGTTAATATAACCATAGGGGAACGTTGGAGTAATCACTGACAAATGTAATCAGCCCAGCCACGCGTGCTACAACGTAATGGTCCCCAGACTATGCACCGGACTTTACCACAAATCGATCGGTTCTGATAAACGCGAGAGTTTCTACTGCTCGGCAAAGAGTAGGAGTGGCAGAAATGCAGGTTTTCGAAGTTTGGTCAGGAAAAAGACCAGAAAAATATGTAATTAGGTCGTCGTCTATTCTCAATTACAAGTGACAAGTTAAAAAAGAAAAGCGCATGATGTTAAGCTTGAGTTACGATGTTTAGTAGCCAAATTATCCTAGCAAATTTTCTGGTGCCCACATAAGGTTGAAGTATGACTAAGTGATGATAGGAAGTAAGCCAGAAGTGACTTTTCCGGTCTCCGTTAATTTGTGGTTAGCAGATTTCAAAATGGAAATTTTCCATTATGGTCTTGAAATTATATTTTTAACAAAAGAGTCGTTATTCTGAAATTAATATTTCAAAGAAAAGGGATATATAAGGAGACTAGCTGTTACTAAAATCAGCGGACATAATTAGCTTTGGCATATTTTATGGAAACATAACTGACGTTGTTCTATTTCTTTTGTATTAGCCGATAATACCTGGGGCGCTGAAAAATGTGTCTCTTAGCTATTCATGATAGATGATAAATTAGAAGGTAAATAAATTTTTTCTTTTCAATTCCTCTTAAATTGAAATATATCTATTTATAATTTTGTAGCTGAGATCAGTCACATACCAATATACTTAATATCCTCCACTTCATTTTTCGGGGTGGATATGTTGATGTCTCGCATGGTACAGAAAGAAGGAAACCCACGTTTCTTCTCGAGAAATATGCTTCTGATTCAATTAAGCTACTTGATTGACCTAAAAATAAAATGGTAAAATTTTAGTGTGTTTTCTGGTCTTAATAAAGCATTTGATTTAACGGAAAGTCACTTACTGTTTATCGTGAAATTAACCGGTCTTGAATAAATGCCCCATCCAAGATTGTTTCTTCCTCTGCAGGCGTATACTCCAGAATGGTAGGGTAACTTTACGGGTAGCGCTTTAGTGAAGCATTTGGAATGCTAAAAATGCAAATACATTAAAATATTATTTATACAAATCTATTTTGAATAAGTTTTAGTTATGGAGTAGTATTGAAAAGACTTAATTAGTAAAAATGTCGTCACAACAGCTTAGGTTTTATGGCCCTAGCTGAATCCATTCATTCGTAAGCGGATAAGTAATAAACAGTAATACGTGCAGTAAACCTGGGCAAGTTTTATTGCCCTAGCTCAAACCATTCACTCGTGGGCAGATAAGTAATTAATAGTAATACGTGCAGTAAAGCTGGGCTATCAAATCTACCCATGTGTGATTAAATTCACGGCGCAC